ACGATCCCAAATATGTATTCCCTGGTCACTAAGTACACATCGAATGTTCAGTGGTAGAATGCTTCCCAACCAATTACGTGATTCCGGTTCAACTCGCGTCCAGTGCACTACTAAACATGATCTAATTTACCCATCTATCGTGCGTCGGTGGCACAGTGGTTAGGACTCTCGCCGACCATGCACATGGTCCGATCCCCTGCCGACGCACACCAGATATCTATGGTCGGCCTGCAAAATTTGGGCTACCGATATCCATGCTGAAAATTCCATACTTGTACTGAAAATACGGTGTGGCATCAAGCTGTAAATCAAAAAAAGTCTAGAAAGGAGGGAAGGTTGAAGTGAGGCTAGCAAATGCACCTAGTGAAAGCAAAAACCACTGTGAATGGAACTTCAAATGCTTGGAGTCTTATGTTCCCTTTAGAACCCAAGGAAGGAGCGAAACTACGCTTATCTATGCTTTTCACTTAAAATAATGATATGGTCAGATATGAATTACATGCTGAACAATTTTTTTTCCTTCACGTTCCCCAGTGGAACATAGGGCTTCAAGCTACTGGCTTGAAGTTTCTGTAGCAGTGTTTATTTTACAGGATGGGGTTGCTAGCCTCATGCCCAACCTTTCCTCTTCACCAGCATTATTTCTGGCTTAGTGAGGTAAAGGAGTGCGTCGGCCGGGGATCGAACCCCGGACAATGTGCATGGTCGGCGAGCGTCTTAACCGCTATGCCACCGACGCACATGCTGAACAAAATTAACAAATATTCTCCATTCACTTGATGAGATACAGTTAGATAGATAGATAGATAGAAACTTTCACCGAAATTTATCTGAATCCCAGATTATTTTTTTTATACAGACGAAATTACGTCATCTATCTGTTGTGTAACGAGTAAATGTTAGTTAGGAATGTTGTTGCTTTTATTCTGATTATTTCGTTTATAAAATTAAAATTTTTCTTCATCTCTGTCGTGTAGTCACTTATATCTGTGATTCTTGATAAGCTTATCAACTAAAGCCAAAGATTGTTTACTAGAAGAGAGAAATATAACCAGTTAGAGTAAAAACAATTAAATTTAAGTTTCAAAGTGTATCAATATTTGCTTAGTGGTTAATCTTTAACGGAAAACATTGTTGTAAGATGAAAGTATCATTGTACATTGGACACTTTATAAATCAGAGAAGTATATATACATGTATATATATTCTCTAGATATACTAATATTTACACACTTACTAAAATTAGGTGGAGAGTTAAACATATAAGAATAAAAGATACAGTAATCCTCATTAAATTTTTATAAAAAGATTATGAAAAACTTGGAAATTATGAATCAGTAGTTAAAATCACAAATTTTAGAGTCTAACGATTGAAAAATGCATAAAAATATACTTCAATAAGGCATTAAGAAGACAAATTTCGCGAGATGATGATATCATTTCGTAGTTTCTTTACAACCGCTTTACAACTAACATGGTTAACAATAATAAAATAAAGTTCATGACAATTACTCAGTTAAATAAAAAAACAAAAGTACATACTAATGACCAATCATATTTAGATAGGTCATGTTGTCCATGGTAGGCGAAGATTGAAGTCTATTGTTTTTTGTACACACAGTTTAGGCTGTATGTGATTAATCCAAAGTGCTTCCATCACCTTCAATAACCAACCTTGAATTAGAGTTATGTGAAATAATTGTGAAATAGTCATTAATATTCAATTGAACTGTCGTCAAGATTTGACAGAATAGTTCTAAAATATTTGGGCACCGAGTGAGAAGTAGACATTTGTAAAAAAAATTATATTTGTACTATCTCAGCGATATTGAAATGAGTAATTCCAACGTTTCGTTCGGCAATCTGGTCCGAACTTCTTCAGGGAAATTAATCAAAATTAACATAACAGAGGTTTATATAAAAAAGGCACATGAAGGTTTGATGTTAGCTGATGCATAGGAAATCCTGATTAATAAATAAAAATGGATACGTATCACTAATTAATAATACTTGGTCAAATTCCTGACTGTTTATATCTTCCTATGGAGACGTTAAGAAATGTTTTACAACTGTTTACACACACACGCATACACACTCTGTTTAAAGTGTTTAACAAAGGTAGACCAATATTTGTAAGTTTGAGGTCAAATTTTGATCACAGCTCATACAATTTTGTTTACTATACTTGTTAATACTTGTGTTTATGAATCATGATTGGACAAGGTTTTTAAAAACAAAAGATGTGCCTTTTATATATAAAAACCTCTGTTATGTTAATTTTGATTAATTTCCCTGAAGAAGTTCGGACCAGATTGCCGAACGAAACGTTGGAATTACTCATTTCAATATCGCTGAGATATTACAAATATAATTTTTTTTACAAATCATTAATATTGATTTTGTGACCTGACATTAATAAGTGTTTTGCAATGGATGATGCTGGATTTCTATTCAGATTAATCGCATTGGGATTTTCTATATGATTTAGTAGCCATTTTGGAACATGTTCTTTTTGACGACATTGGAACATTCTATTGGTTCTACCTATATAAGTGTCACCGCAACTGCAGGTGAACTTGTAGATACAGTTTGAAGTAGAGTCCACAGAATTTCGTCCTTTAATCGTAGGTACAGGGATCGAAAATGTTCGGCAAGTGAGAAAAAGAGATGCGGCGGCGTAGAATGTGCGTTTGATGGCTGATCGAAGTCTTTGAGCTGTCAACTGCATAATCTGGTCACCCTTGAATGGTAGGTTAATAAAGGTAGCTTTCTTTGGTACAGAAGCTGTCTTTTCAAGATGTGGTCTATCTTTACTGTGACAAGTGATAAAGTTTTCCGGATACCCATTAGACAATAAAACTGAATGTATATGTCGAAACTCATCCATCACTGTGTCACTCGTGCATATTTTTCGGGCCCTTGAGAACAAACATTTCACTCACTAGGGAACGTTTATACTGGATAGGAACAAAACTGGTCAAATGAAGATATTGTCCACTCCATGTCTGTTTACGAAAAATAGATCGCTTAATGGTTCCATCATCTCTCCTGGTCATTGTAATATCCAGGATACCGAGTTTGTTATTCGATTCTAGTTCGGAAGTCACTCGGATATTTGGATGAATATGATTTGAATAGGGTAATAAAGTTTTCAATAGATTTACTATTATTACCAATAATGAGAGTATCATCTACATAACGTTTATACAGCATAAATTCTCCAAGCATACCTTACATTTGTCTCTCCAATTTCGACATGAAAATATCTGCTAACAGGGGCCCAAGAGGGCTACCCATCGCAATACCATCGATTTGTTTGTATGCCTTTTCTTGGAAGGTGAATCTGATATTTTCTGTACATGTTAAGATAATGTCTCTGATGTAAGTGACAGGAATAGGTAAGTGTATCCCATTGCTTGTGATGCAATCGCAAATGAAATCAACAGTTTCATGAGGTGGAACATTGGTGAATAAAGATTCTATGTCTATCGAGCACATAACCTTTTCCTTAATGTTCAAGGTGTCTAGCATATCTGTCAGATCAAATGAACTTTTTACAGAATGATTTGATAATGAGTCTCTTACATCACATCACCTTCACATTATTACAAAATATGAGTGATTTTATTGACATTCCATAGTAAACAAGCAAATCAAAAGCAACTAGTGATCTCAAATGGTTGTATATATATACGTGTGTGTAGTATTATTATTGTTCCCTTGGGTCCCTAGTGGAACATGGGGCTTCAACTACACGTCTCCACTTGCTTCTGTCTTCTGCTGTACTTTTCACTTGCATCCATGTTAATCCATACTGTTTCAACTCCTCTTCACACGATCTCCTCCATGTCACCCTTGCACCGACGACCCACTCGCCGATTCCCTTTCGGGTTCCACTCGAGCGATGGCCTGACGCGCGATGTCACCCAGCGGCCTCCTCAGCGAGTGTCCAATCCATCTCCACTTTCTCCTGCATATTTGTTGAGCGATTGGTTCTTGTTTTGTTTGTTCCCATAGTTTCTTGTTGGTGATTGTTCTTTCCGGCCATCTGATCTTCAGTATAGAACGAAGACAGTTGTTGATAAAGGTCTGCAACAGGCTGTTGGAAATATTCTTTGTGACCCGCCAAGTTTCTGATCCGTATAGAAGAACTGACTGACTTGACGTTTGTATTGAAAATCCGAATTTTGTTGTTGATGCAGGCTGAGTGACGAAGATTTCCAGATTGGTTTCAGGTTGATGAATGTGTTTCTCGCCTTCCCGATTCTCGATTTGACATCCTCGTCGTCTGTTCCTCCTGTAGTTGAGACAATGCTCCCTAGATAAGTGAATGAAGTAACCTCTTTCAAATCCCTCCCGTTGATGGTGATTGGCGCTGGATGTTGCTGCTGCTGTTGTTGTTGTTGTTGGTTGGTTATTTTCATAACCTCCGTCTTGTCTATGTTCACCTGGAGACTATGAGAAAACTGATCGTTGCGTTTGATCAAATATCAGAAGGAAAAGTGCTTACTATTTAGTTTCTGGTGAAAAGTCAAGTCACCTGAAAGACAGTGCTTAACCTCTTTTAATAAGACATATATTTTAGTACACCTATTACAGAGGTTTCTGCCTCGCCCCCCCGTCCTAACTGAATTAAGAGGAGCCGTTGACTTTCTTTCACTTATCTCCACGTTGATAATATGGCTTCAAAAAAATAAATAAATCACTATGCATGCTTTGTAGTTCGTTGACCATTCAAGCAATCACTGCAACTACATCATAAGGCCTGATTCTTACATTTTGGACTTAGTACTTAAGCTGTAATTCAGTTGATTAACCTGGCTTCATTGACCTATTGTACAAGATATACGGGACGCTTTCTTTTTGATTATTCGAGCTAGAATAAAATGTTTATTGAGTACTTGATTAATGTGAACCAAGAATGATTAGAGGCAGCAGGCAAACAGATTATTATCTAATCTGTAATATATATATATATAACAACATAATTAAAATAGAGTGCGAGTATAACATCTTACAAAATGAATTGAAAGGAACAATTGAATTCTGATAATAATTTAAAAAAAAATTAACGATGGTACATAAAATAAAACGAATAAGGGATGAAGTCAGCACAAAAAGTCAATATTGCTTCAAAAGGAATTTCAACATCACGTAAAAAGGCAAGCTGAAGTTGACAAAAACATTTTTCGCGCTTTGAAAAAAAAAAGGTTTTAGAAATATGATTTATACAAATTGGTAGCTAAGGGAATGTTGAATAGTTAAAAAAAGAACCAGTTTTAATGAATAAAACAATAAAATCAACACAAAAAAGCGGTACTCATCAAAATGATGTGGTTTTTTAGTTTAACAAAGACAAAAAAAATTTACATGTGAATATTATTATTATTATTTCGCAGCCAATGATTTTCTCTTTCTTTTGAAAAAACACATCCAGGTGTTATGCACTAGGGTTTTGACAGATTCTAGAATGAACACATAGAAGATCGCGTAGGTACTAGAGAAAAAAAGATAAGAAACAGTAGTATGAATGCATTTCATGATGAATTGCATGTGATAATTAAAAAAAACACCAACTAAATGTTATCACAGATTGTGATAGCTGATGCTAATTTATATTTTTTAAAATCTAGACTAGCTGTACAAAACACATCGAATAAATGACGAAACAGCTTGAAATTTTGTCTATATGAGGACACCTTGGGTTTGCAAATATGCTGGATGTTTGTAACGTTTATGAACACGCACATATATATATGTGCGTGTGCTGCGCTCACTGAAGCTGGCGTCCCCCAAGGTGCTGTACTCTACCCACTTCTCTTTTCTTTCTTTCTACACGACTTACCATCCTCAAATGACATTAATTTTGTCAAATATGCTGACGACCTGACAGTATCTTTGCCTGTCAAATGTCAAAGTGACTGCTCTAAACTTGATGGCTTTCTGTCAGAAATCAGCCAGTGGTCCAAGGAAAACGGTCTTACCTTAAACCCCTCCAAATGTCAAACAGTCAATTTCACCTTTAGGCATAAATCTGACCTAAACAAACTGGTGAGCACTCACGAGGTGTGCAACATAGATGGCACTGAAATAGAAACCTAGTCGGAAATTAAATACCTAGGCGTCATTCTATCTGCTGATCTTTCCTGGTCGTCTCATATTTTGATGATTTCTAAAAAATATTCCGTCTAACCTTCTACATCAAGAAGTTAAGACATTCTGGTATAACCCAACCCTTACTCCTACAATTCGTTAACTCTCGCATCCTGCCTATTATTCTCTATTGTTCCCCCTTAGCTTTTCCAGGGGTACTGAATAAAGACTATACCTTATTACGCAGGATGTTAAATGTTGTCAGCAGGGTAAGCAACGTGCCACTCTACCAGCTTGTTAATATTCTGGTCGACAGGCACATGGACTCATGTGAAAAATGGGCTAAATCCATTCTATCTAACTCACACCACCCTCTTCATTCACAACTTTCCCCTTGCATCTCATCAAGTAAAACCAGAAGCCTATATAGAAAACTATATGCTCGCACTAGCAAGTACAAAAACTCAACCATACCCTACTTGGCTCGTGTTCTGTGCGATAAAGAAAGTATTAGGCGTGACACCTATAACTTATTAAATAGTCAGTAGAACAACTGGATCTCGTCTTTCCAACTCATATCATTTATAGGTACAACATTTTCTTTCTTTCTTTTCCTTTTCTCTCTCTCTTTTTTCTTTTTCCGTTATGTGCTGCTTTGTTTCTTTCTCGCTTACGCCAGTAAATATGATAGCACCTACTTTTCTAACACCTTCAAACACTGTTCAGCTTTGGCTTTGCTACTGACATGCCAATGTTTTGTTGTCATAATGAACTGAGATTTCCTTAATCTATGTAGAATTCTATTTATTGATAATGTACTAACTGGATGCAATACTGTAGTAAAAATGCTGAGACTTCTATTCTGTATCACAAGTACTGTTTTGGAATAAAGCAAATTATTATATATATGTCTGACTTCACGAATATAAACACATCACAAATGAAACAAAATTCCTTAGAACGGTTTGATATGATGCTGTTGCGTTGACTTAAACGATGAAAAGAGCATAATGACTAAACACACAAATGAGTAAACTGTATTCTATGACTCATTTTAGTTTGTAGTTCAGTGGTAGGATGTTGACTAGTCACGCAAATCGTTGGGGTCACATTTCCAGGCAACACAATCCTAAAGCTCGCCTAGTTGATTAACCGATAGTGAGATCCCATTAAAAAAACACTTCGGCTACTAAAACTTCAAGGATTTAAGCCTCTATCCTCAACTCAGAAAGCAAGGAGGGATGAATTAAAAACTACTAGCCGGCCCTCCATTTTCACTCAATATAAATGCCATGTTGGCCAAGCTGCATATCGCCCCATGTAGACGACACATTCACTGTACTTAAAATGCAGGATATAGATAGATTTTTCGCACACATTCACTCGAAGGTGAAGGCAATCCAATTCACTTATAAATTGAAAAGTCAGAAAGGGGAACTTCACAATGTTAGATTGTAGCGTTAAAAGGAAAGAAGATGGGAAGTTAAACACTAGTGTTTACAGGAAACCCACACATTCAAACAGATATTTGGACTTCCGACCATCCCATGCTAAGTCAATGAAAATGCGACTGGTGGAATATTAAAGTAATAGAGCACAACAACTAAGTAGTACCAAGGAAAATCTAAGACAGGAAGTGAGGCACATGAGAGAAGCTTTGAAACTGAATAATTACCCTGATAAATTAGTCAGGAAGTATGTAGGGAAATGTAAAATTAAAAATAAAATAAATAATGATAGTAGTGACAGTGATAATAATAATAATAATTTTAATGATGACATGCATGTCAAACATGTGCAAGACAACAACAACAAGATTTTGAGCGAACAATTGTTTTCGATAACTTCTTCTTCAGGCTCTACAGTTATAAATCCATGAATAATAGAGTACATATAGCCAATAAAGGCAAATGAAAATAATATCAGAAACTGTATTGGGGTGCATGTGTAAGTTGAGATGATAGTCCTTTAGTTAACATAGTCAATCAAATGTGTATAGGGTGTATAGTCAGCAAAATGTGATGAAGTGTGAATGAATAATTGGGTGATATAGGGCTGTTTTATAGTCACCCTATACACACCCTATACACATTTGATTGACTATGTTAACTAATGGACTATCATCTCAACTTACACATGCACCCCAATACAGTTTCTGATATTATTTTCATTTGCCTTTATTGGCTATATGTACTCTATTATTCATGGATTTATAACTGTAGAGCATGAAGAAAAAGTTATCGAAAACAATTGTTCGCTCAAAATCTTGTTTTGATTTCAATATGGGGATATTTCATTTACAACAACAACAATAAGGAATCTAAATCATCGGTAGTGATTCCATACAAGGAAGGAACCTCGGAAACCTTACGCAGAATTCTTAACAAGGAAGGAATAAAATTGGCTGGCATTCAAACCACCCACAAACTCAATTAGAAACAAGCTTTGTCGGTTAAACGATCAATCCTGTGGAGCCTTTAAAACAAAACAATTTAGTTTATCTAATACCCTGCCTGCAATGAATGTCAGGTCAAATACATAGGTCAAAGAAGTAGAACAGGGACAGTCAGACTAGCTGAGCATAAAAACCTAGCAAAATCTAGATTAGTTGAGTAGAATAAGATAAGAAATCTAGATAATAGTTCAGCTATAGCACTCACCACATGCAGTTACACACAACCATACAATAGAATGATGGGATAAGATGACAGTTTTAAAATCTAATGTAACAGAGCGGAAACTTTATTTATTGAATCAACTGAAAATACTACGTGCAGTAGAAATGATTCAACACCTGTCCACTTTGATATTTGGAAAATTCTACTACCCCAACAACGACAAATAGGAGAAGACAAAGAAAACTATAAAACTCAAGTTTCGAAGTTGTGTGATTATAATTGATGAAATGATTATGAACAATAAATTTTGTTCGAAACGTCATCCAGTAAATAAATACTGTTTCACTGTGTGATACATCTAATAAACAAACTAATATGGAATGTAAACCACCTAATATGTATTCAAAACACTGTTATAATTTTGACCTATGTTTCTCAACTTCATTTCTGCAATCAAAGATAAGTCATTCAATCTAATGTCAACCAGTATTTACACAGGAAGCATTTTTTAATTCTTCACGTTCCCAGTGGAATATAGGGCTTCAAGCTAGTGGCTTGAAGTTTCTTTAGCAGTGTTTATTTTTACAGGCTGAGGTTGCTAGCCTCATGCCCAACCTTTCCCCTTTACCAGCTTTATTTCTGGCTTAGCGAGGTAAAGGAGTGCGTCGGCCAGGGATCGAACCCCAGACCATGCGCATGGTCGGCATACAACACATTAATAAAGCGAAAGCAAAAACAACATCATAAACCGAATTGTAGTCTAGGTTTTGCTGAATATGGAAGCTGCATAAAATCCTACAGTCGGACACTTCACCAGAACGACAACAAACGTAAATTAGTAAACATACTAAAGAGTTTATATAATCACAATTACTACTGAATAAGCAAAGTTATTGATATAAGTATAAAACTTGGCCACTGCGGTAGAGTATTACTCGATTATGGATAAGATTTTTATTTTGATAAATCACACATTGGTGTTGTACAGCAATATTAACTGATGCGACCACTTTTCGAGCAAAAACTATTGCCACTCATAATCATATCACGTCACTCACGCAACATGAGTGGAATCGATTCGACATTTGAATAAAAATCAATATGAGATAATGTACATTCAGAAATAATAATATGAGTGTTATCAATCAAATACAATCAGACGGGAAATAAGACGAGTGTTTTTACAGTCAAAATAAGTAACTTGTTAGAATGTTGTAATGTGCTTGAATTGAAACACAATTTTGAGATTATCTATTATCCTCCTCTGATTTGACTGACTGGTGGTAAGAATATCTCCCATATCTTTGGTATTTGCATTGAGTCATTTCTGTTGCATGTGTTGTGTTGGGTGTAGATTCACTCGATGAACCATGTGGGATTCAGTAATCAATCTCTCTCGCTTTCTCCATCTACCTATATTACTTCTTAGAATTTTAACCCTCTCACACCATGCTAATGTGTGATTGTGTGTTAATGCGTGAAGTGCAATTGCTGAGCTTTTTTCTAAATTATTTATGTTCTCGGGATCAACCATTCTTACCTTAGCTATATTCTTATGTTCCGACAATCTGACTACCCCGGACCTACTAGTCTAACCTATGTAGTTGACTTAACTCACAATTATTGCAGGGTATTTTGTAAATTATATTATTTTGTCTAATTGGGTCAACAGGGTCCTTTAACCTACAGAGCTTGTCCTTGAGTGAGTTTATAGGTTTGAATGCCACCCTAATTCCTGCTTTATTAAGAAGATAAATAATTTAGAAAAAAGCTCAGCAATTGCACT